GCACAAGGCTGGTGTCCAACAGCCAAGGAAAATATCATTTAAATTCTTATTTCATTTCGCCGATTTCTCGTAGGTAGGTGCTAATCGTAATACCTACAACCCATGTTTTGTCCATAACAACGACCGACAACGGCGGCGGCGGCGGTAAATAGTTTCACACTTTTACGTTAATTATCAGTTTTAATTTTTATTTGCCGCTACCACGGTAGCTCGGCGAGACAAGGTTTTCGTCGTTAAATCCGCGTTATCTTTCGAGCACACGCCACCGTCACCACCCGCCGGAGCAATAATTATTAAACCGTAATAAAAAATTATTATCAATCAACTGGCCTTTGTCGACCGCGTTTATTGCATACATGTCGCCATGTCGGTCTACTATATTATCACACCACAAGGGACATTATCGCACGTTCGTTTTACGACACATTATAGACATAATATTATGAGCGATGCTTAATCGACAACTGTTCAGTAATAATTGTCCACATAATATGATACATTCTAATTTAATAATAATTAATTGTATAACGTTATTATTCTCCTAACGACCTAACGTCGTAGTGTAATACCCATTAAAATATTATTGTATTATAATACACAATATTATTATGAGTGTCTATTATATAATATTGGGTACATGTTGTTATTAATATTATTATGTCTATTAGAGTTTGGATCGGCGACCACGGTCCACGTGCGGCGGCATATTTCTCGTAAAAAACAATATCTATATATATATACATATCGCACGACGTATCCCTCCTGTCGGTGATTTTTTTTTTATTTCTCTATTCGCCACGTGTTCTATTTTGGGATCCCGTCGTCGCGAGATCGGTCAATTGGTGAACAAAGCAGTACCGCAGCGACAGCAGCTGCAGCAGCATCGCGTCGTCCACAATAATAATATTAATAATAATACCTAACAATAATAATATGATAGTGTCGTAACGATACGTCATGATCAACGAGTGACGACAGTGCCGCTAGTCCGACAGCTCCCGACGGATGATCGATACCACAATAATAATAATAATAAATAATAATATATCATCGTCGTAAACCGCACATCCGTCCGCGACGTTTCGAACGATTGTAGTATACTTGGGTGATTTAAAGAATTTTTCCGCACTGGGTACCAACACCACCCTCCTATATACCTAATAAAGATCGAGAATCGCGATACAACCCCCGCACTGCCTGGCACAGGACGAGAGGAAATCGTAGTTAGAAAATGTAAGCGGTCGCCGATCGATTTTTCTTATATCAAACGGTACGTAAAGCGTGCGGTTTACTGCTCGCGCACGCAACAATAATTATTGTTATATTGTCATATCGTTTATCACCGTTGTTCGAGTGGGTTGTTTGTACGAGCCAAGTTTCACGACGAGAGGATGTGGGGGGGGGGGGGAGGGGTCTTCGCCGTCAGCACTCGCGGGGCTAATATGCGGTGGCATAATTCGTGCAACTAAAAATTTTGCAAAAAAAACTTTTGGAAACTCGGTCGGTAGACAAACCATAAACCATCAGTATACGGACTTTATAGTCTCGTCATAACATATTTTTAATCTTCATATATATACTCTGTACTTGTACAGTTGTACTACTCACGCAGACCCCCAATTACCTGCAACCTGCTATTATACATTCACACCACTACTTTGTGAACACCCGTGGTACGTTTTAATACCTATATTAATATTATTTATTAGTTTATTGCCATTTCTGAGCCGAATTTTGAGGCGAGGGCGTTCTCAAGGGGGGGAGGGATATGGGGGAAAGATCCCCCAATGTTCTTTATTTTCTTACATATTAGTAATACACGTTTTGTTTACTTTTGATATGTGTTTGTGTTTTCAATGTTGACTAGGTAGTTATTATTTTTATTTTTTTTTTGCTATTTTTCTTTATCGTGATTATTGATTCCACCAGCCATAAACAATATTGTTATTTATAACTGATAAGGATAACATATATTGTTCTGTGATATAACAGGCAATTCGTTTAACAATTGATTTGTACTGTGTTTTTGTAAACGATAACTCCGTCAACTTAACCCATTCCCAGCGTCAGAAAAATTTAAAGGTAAGATACACAATGATAACAACACAGTGATAAAATAAAATAAATAATTTAAACTGATTCATGACATTGTTTTATAGTTTAAATAAAAAGTACAATCAAAATGACTTGAATTGATTATTTGATATTATCAACTATCATTATTAGATTCTGAGGGATCTATTGGTTTTACAAGGGTGTTCATATTTTATTTTTATTTTATCCTGTATACAAAATTTCTACCAGAAGGAGTTCTTTGCTTTCAAAGTTTCAACATAATAATATAGTATCTTATCTTTTAGCAAATTGGATCAAAATGGTAAATTAGAGAGGTAATTTTTCGATTTTCTCAATATTTATTTAATATCACATGAAAAACCACCTACAAATTACAAAAAAAACCCGCTAAAAATGGGATTTCAATTTCTAACACTTTGTTTATCACCATAGAAACAAATAAAATAAAAATAATGATTTTAGTTATTTTGTTGTAGTTTATAATATTAATTCAACTTACAGGCCATAATAAAATATAATAACAATATATAATATCCAGACTAACAAACCGTCTCTGCTTAGAATCGTTTTTCGTTTACAATGATATTATGATTTATGATATCATTGAATTCAAATTTAATACAATCCATTATACAGTGACCAACTTGTAACCTACTGTACAGCAGAGCGACATCCATTTACCCGCTTTTTTAATATTCATTATTGATGGGAGTTGTGAGGCAAAACACTTGCGGCTTATTTTGTAACCATTTTTTTCATCCCCCTCCAATGAAATACCCTGAGACGCCTCTGCGGACGCAATAAAGGTATTATGCGTTATATTTGCATTTCATTATACCGAATGTATAATGTTGAATAGTAATATTATTTATTTATCCGGAAAGCGTTCACGGCATTATTATTAATGTAATATATTATTGCAGTCTATGCACACTACATACGAACTGACATTTTATAGGTAACATTTTAATCGGGCACATTTAAATGCACCCCGAGTCCGTGGACCTTTCTCTTCGACTATATCATCAGCTGTGACTGTATCCGTTCGACTATTTTCATTCGTAATAAGTTTATCAATCAATTATTTTTGAACGATGAAATTTCTGATAACATGAATGATTTTTACAGATTCACTTTAAATAGTGTAAATAGCTAGGTAGGTAACATATTTTTTAAAATATGACGAACACAATAAAATTAATAAAATGTATAGTTTATTACAGATATCATTATAACTATTCCTTTATGTGACTAGTAAAGTGTGAAAAAAACTTCAATATAGAGGATTAACTTTTATGGCATAACGGATTTTGTCATACAATTTAAACCCAAGTACCGATATTATATAATATTAGTGCCTGCGTACACTTATCTTTTAATTTGTATTTACACAACATGATGAATAATGAAAATATAGAACCCTAATAAGATAATATTTAAAAATTATAGAAGTGTCATGTGTGATTGTGTGAACATTAAATTAATTATAGCCTTATGGCTTATAGGATACCTATTACCTATGGCTATAGCTTTAATATTTAATCATATTTTAATATTCAGAACACATGAATATACAGGTACATACTTATATAATTTCTAGTTATTGTACTTATTAAATTATTCAGATACAATTAACTAATGAAAATATTTTTTAATGGTTTTTTAAACATACAGGTACACATCATACAACACAACATTTCATAGTAATTAATTTTGAATGAGCATACTTATAAAATAATATAAGACCAAGTATTATTCGTTAATCCTAAAATGCTTGGTTTGTTTAATGTATTAAAAACAAAGAACAAAAAAAACAAAATTTGCCGTCCTTGGTTACAAATTATAATGTTTTGTGACATAAAAATTATCTTAGTATGGCTCTGCGTGACGCAGTAGCTGAAATCAATCACACAATATTATTGAGAGTAAGCAACCACCGTTGCCACTAGTTTCCAGATGGGTGACCACCAGGTTCGTAGTGCGCAAAAAACTTGCCATACAAGCACGTGTTCCAAATCAACCGTTCCAACCACCCCAACCTTACCATACCAGCCCTACCAACCTCACGGGTTTTAAATCTAATAAAAAAAGTTATCTTGGTTCATTCAACAAACAATGCATAAATAATTCATTTACATATTAATATATAATATATATACTAATTACTAGCTGTATAACCAGACTTCACCCGAGAACAAATTAACAAATATATCAACATCATATAATACGAATATATAATATATCGTAACAAAATATGGTGTATATAATAGGTGTACCTTAGTTCATGTACCTTTAATCTAGATGGATAATTCACTTGTTGTGGATTGAATAAAGCTCTTGGTATATTTTCGAACGTAGTTGAATCTACTCTTTATACTTTTCTAATATCTCTAAAAATGATATTTAAAATGTTCATCAAAGTAGTTTTTGAGCATATAGGCTATGGACATACATTCCTATATATATAATCTATATTGTAAATTAGACATTGTCTGTATAAATAATAATAAATAAATAACATAAATAAAAATATTATATAGAAGTCTATTTTATTTATATATCCAATAGGAACACTATAAAAAAACTGATTTTAACAAACTAGATGGGTTGTAAAACGAAGCTATAAACACTTCTCGAGTTTAAACGAATGTATGTGCAAAATTTGGTGCCAGTTGGTTCGGTTGTTTCTGAAATTACCGGATACTAACAAACGGGAAATCATTTTTAATATTCAAATTTTTTAGAATATTTGAATGTTTTACGCATTAAAGTTGTCGTTTTGTATGTATTTAATATAATTTATGTTTTATAAATTTTAAGTATAATTATTGTCTAACCATAATATTATGATTATTACATAAACAACTGGTAATAAAATGTGTTTTATTTTTTGTTTAGAATTATCAACCAATCACATACAGAACATGCTGAAAATACACAAGGGACTAAAAAAAAAGAAGAAAAACAAGAAAAATAAACATAAAGAAGAAGAACTTTTCAACGAAGAAGAACTTGAAAAATATCGACGAGAACATCAAGAGGGAAAAGTAGCCGGAGGTGAAAAAGACGGCCAAGAGGAGTGGCAGAAATTTAAAGCAATCACTGCTGGAATCGATGATGTCTTAAAAAAAACACAAGGAGATCTTGATCGTATCAAGACAAACAGTTTCTTTCAAAGAAAACCTACACAGACTGAACTCAAAGCCGCTGAAGATAAACTCGAAGCGGAAAAGAAGGCAAAACTAAAAGAAGAAGAACGTCTTAAGGCTGAGTCAGAGGCTCGGACCGCCGCTAAAGCAGTAGAAGAAGCAGCGGCTTGTGCACAGGTTGAAGAAGAGTCATCAGAAGAAGAATCAGATAATGGTGATGATATATTTGACACTTCATACGTTGATGTTATAACAAGTGGAGAAGTAAAACTTGCATACATTCCAGAAAGCCCAACTGAAGAAAGCACTGAGTTTGATCCATTTGATACATCTATAGTAGATAAAGTTATCCAACCTAATCCATCTAAGAAGAACAAAAGATACATAAGTCTTGGGTGTGCGGTTGAAGTTCTTTCCGGCAAGGAAGTTGATATCAATCCTGAGGTATTCAGGTCAACTGCTGTCCGAAAAAGACCTAAACCTGTAAATTTATTGTTGGAGAGTTTTGACGAAAGCAGTTCAATCCCAAAACTTGTTGATGACAAACCAATAAAAACGTTGCTTGACGACGATCCAGATTTGCCTACCGACGCATTACCGTTAACAATAGTTACTCCTATTGAGATAAAACCACAACCGATAAAAGAAAATAAAAAAACTCCCGAACAAGATATCAGTCAAATTATCAACGAGTTTGATACACCACTTATTTTATCTGAAACTGTAAATACACAATTACAGCTTGATGACGATATTGATGACGAGTTTGCTGCATTAGCCGCTGAATCATTGTCCAAATCTCCTTTACCGGAAGACGTTGATCCTTTTGATACATCTTTTGCAGATCATCTTGTGCCTGCAGTCAACAATCTCAACATTGAAAAGGAACAAACCAACCAACCAACAAACGATAAGTTAGCGGAAAAAGAATTTTTTGAAACCGTTAGACCACTAAGTCTTGAACATAGAGATTTGTTGGGTGGAAGTACAACAGATTTATCAGTTATTGGGCATAATCCAATTGAACCCCATAATCCGGTATCTGAAACTACGCACATTGACCCATTTGATACATCTATTGCAGAAAGTTTGTTACCAGGGAAAGGAGAATTAAAATTACTCGAAAAAGAATTATTAGAAGATTCTAAAGCACTTTGTAAAAAAATAATTATTGAAGAAGACGACGATTTTGATCCAAGAGCTGAAGACGTTGTTCGACCAGCTGAACTAAATTTAAAAGAGAAGAGAGTTAGTATACCAAAGGTAACATTTGCCTTAGAAAAAGATTTGTTAACTGACGACCATCACGGTGAGCTGCATGTAGCAAAACCATTGACTCCGTATTACCCACAGGACCAATCAAACGAAGTCAATTTTGAAATCGACCCATTTGACACATCATATGTGAAACACGCACCTGGACAGGTGGAATTAAAACTGTTAGAAAGTGAATTAGTGGAAACTGAATCTAAGTGTACAGATATACTGACTGAAGAAGAATTCATACCTCACATACTTCACACGCCTGTTGAACCAGAAATTGCTGTTCCTGAAGAAATCGATCCTTTTGATACTTCATTTGCAAACGGCGCTGCGCCAAGTAAAACAGAAATAAAATTATTAGAATCTGAATTTATACATAAATAAAGATGGCAAATCCATTTTTAATCGGTGACGCAACATCTACGTTCAACGAAAATAATAATACTTTTAATCCATTTTTAATTAATACAGCAACAGATTCGGAATCTCATAATGATAATCCTTTTTTTTCAACATTTGGTACATCAAATGCTATGCCAGACAACACAAATCCTTTTTTGGCGTTCACACAAAATCCTGAACCAGCTCAGTCAGTGGTTGACCTGCTGGGTATTAATGAAACCCCCCAAACTACTGTAGTAGAAGATGCATCCAAAATGAAACCTCCACCGCCAAGACCTGCTCCACCAAAAAGACCTCCACCAAGACCAACACCACCACCTCCACCTTCACACGAAGCCAAAGAACTTATTCTTAGTGTAACAGGAGAGATGGATGCGACTTCACTACATTTATTAGATAGATTAGCAAAGACTCCTAGTCCCATTCCAATGCGAGACTTATTAACTCCAAGCCCAACGCCAACAGCTGACCTATTAGGATGTGAAGATCTTCAACCTCCTATAAACTCTCAAATGTCGAGTGTTTTTGACCAACAACCTAACATTATTGACCTTCCTTCAGGATCAAAACCAGAAAGGCCCAAATTTCCCCCCAAAATTGATTTCCTCATGGATGATTTATTAGAAGATGTTCCAATCCATGAAGGCATACAGCCTGAAGAATGTTTAGTAAAAAATAGAACTCCATCAATCCCAGAAAATCTACCATTAACTGTAGGATCGAAACCACCTTCAAGAAAATCTTCAAATGAATTTATTCTTCCCGTTAGAAGATTATCCCATGACGTTACAGAATCAAGAAAAATTATGCCTGATTTAAGTAAAATAGCCGATCGTAGGAAGTCAGATATAGGTCATTTCGCACCGATATTACCTTCAAGAAAACCAACCAGTCAAAGTGATCAGTCACTTCTAGAAAGTAAATCTGAAAATATAATTCAAGAAATCAATGAAACTGGAGATAAACCATGTGATGACATTTTTAAAAATATACCAGAAACTAATTTAGTACCTACTGAAGAAATCCCAGACCAAAAAATACAAGAAGAAATTATTCCGGCTATACCTAAAGAAATAAACGCTCAGTGGGATGAAGAAAAAAATGGATTAGATTTTGATTCGCAACAACAAATAGAATCTTCTGATCACATTGAAATTGATCCTCCGTCGAATGATACAAAATTGACACCTTCAGCAACAGATCTTTCCCCGTTAGAGTTGACAGAAAAAGAAAATTTGTCTTTTAATGCGTTTTATGTTAACACAACTTTACCAACATCTGAATCATTTCCTTCATTTACTGATGGAGATGGAATGGGAGATCACTTAGATATTGATGCATACGATACAAAACCAATACCACCAGTGCCTGATCCATCGCCTTTCCAAGAAATACCTACTCAGGAAACTTCATTTAATGCAGTATTTGAAGTGTCCGAGCAAACAGCGACTACTCCATTCGAAGTTCAAGAACCACAACAATCAGACAACATAGAACCGACTGTAACTACAACTGTGTCAGAGCCATTCCCAGTATCAACAGGCAGTGAAAACCACGATGCATTTGATGCATTCGCAGCAAAGTTCGACGATTCTCAAAATGAAGGTAATGCATCTGGAGTGGCATTTGACGCATTTGGAAGTGTCTCAGGAGGAGCGTTTGATGATTCAACAATGGGTTTCGGAAACGATGATAACTTTGATTCATTCTTATCAACACATCAAATTCCTGCTGCTCCACAGTCAACACCAGCTAAAGTTACCAGAAACAATTCAGGAGAATCTTTAGATGAAAATGATTTCAATGTTTTTATTAGGTACCTACAATAATATAAATTATGTATATACAATTGTTTTAACTTAAATTATTAAATTATACATTTTCAGACCTAAGACAGAATCAGACAACACCGATCAATCTGCCGTGCCTTCAATAGCTCCTCCACCTAAAGTACCTACAAGTTTATTTCAAGAAGGGACGCCTTCTAGGTTCAATCCATTTGATCAAGAGCCAAATGAAACGAATTATAAAAACCAAGGTATTAAAATGAAAAACAATTAACTATAATGTTTATAACATTAAAATATGTTTTATAATAATTTACTATATTAGATTCATACTCTCCTCAACCTATTCCTCAACGAACTGATTCTCAAGAGACACCACCAAGTCCATTGTTTGATGAAGATGTTTCTCAACCACTTGAAGAATTTCCAAGAGTCAACTACGATGGTGATGGCTGGGCAATGGAATTAAGACAACCAAACAAGAAAAAAATAACTGCTCACCGATTTTGGAAAAAAATATTTGTTAAAATCACATACCAGGGGGAAAATCCTGTTCTACAATTGTATAATACTAAAGATGATAAAGATCCATTCCAAGAATTACCATTACAGCCAAGTTATTCTGTATCTGATATTGGTAAGTAATTAATGAGTAATTATAAACGACATTTTTAAATAATAATCATTAATCCTTATTATTTTTAGGAGCCCAACAATATGATCAATATGGTAAAATATTCACTGTGAAACTGTTATATATATTCTATAAAGAAAAAGCAGGATTTAGACCGGGTCAAGTAACAAAAGCCGAAAGGTTAACAAACAAACTGAGTCAATTTGCAGCGTATGCTATTCAGGGTGATTATCAAGGTGTAAAAGAATTTGGTAGTGATTTGAAGAAATTAGGATTGCCCGTAGAACATGGAGCTCAAGTAAGTAATTAACAACCAATATCAATATTTATGTATTTATATATAATTATTATACAGACGACGACATTGTTAAAATTGGGAAGTCATAATTTTGAAGACATGAAACAGTTTAGTGTCTGTATCGAAGAAGCTTTATTTAAGCTTTCTGCTCATCGTGATAGAGCATTGAATTATAAAGTAGAAGATGTGCAAATCACTGCAATTGATGAACTATTTGTTGATCAGAATTCACAAGGATCGGTACTAAAACAAATTGCACGGGTCCGTTTGTTTTTCCTAGCATTCATGTGCGGTGAGTATTGGAATGAATTTCGAGTTTAAAATTATATTATATTGCTATTTGTTAATGATAATATTTTAGGAATGCCTGATGTGGAGTTGGGTGTAAATGATTTAGTTCGACAAGGCAAAGAAGTAGTTGGCCGTCACGATATCATTCCTGTAGTTACTGAAGAATGGATTCGATTGGAAGGGGTTGAGTTCCACAACTGTGTTCAACAAGACGAATATGAGAGAACAAGAACTATAAAGTAATATTTTACGGTTGATGAACTAAAATACTTTTATTTATTGTTTCAAATTAATAGGTTTAAACCTCCAGACGCTTGTTACATCGAATTAATGAGATTTAGAGTTAGACCACCAAAAAACCGGGAACTTCCATTACAATTGAAAACCACAATGTGCATAACGGGAAATAAGGTACCTTCGTAATTGCATTCAAAAATATAACTTAATTTTAGTGTTTACATAACTTCGGTGTAAACATATTCAATAATTTTAGGTGGAATTAAAAGGAGATGTACTCGTGCCAGGGTTCACAAGCAGGAAATTGGGACAAGTGCCTTGTGAAGACGTAGCCATAAAGTTTCCCATACCGGAATGTTGGATTTATCTATTCAGAGTAGAGAAACATTTTAGATATGGATCTGTAAAATCAGCACACAGAAGGTATTTGTAAAAATAAAATAAAATGGTTTCAAAAACTATTTGCTTATCGTTTATCAACTTATTATTCTAAAAGGACGGGAAAAGTGAAAGGCATCGACCGATTTCTTGGTACAATGGACAATCTCGAGCCTCATTTGATTGAAGTGACATCTGGTGAGGCCAAGTACGAACACCACCACAGGGCTGTAGTGTGGAGAATGCCGAGATTGCCAAAAGAAGGACAGGGTATAATATTGCTATTTATATACAACCACTACACGTACTGACCAATAATCTCGGACACTTATTTCTTCTCAGGAGCGTACACTACGCACAACCTCGTATGCCGCATGACCTTAACGTCGTATGACCAAGTTCCCGAGGAGCTGGATAAATACTGTTATGTTGAGTTTACAATGCCGACGACTCAGGTGTCGCACACCACCGTTCGGTCGGTATCGATTGTAAACAGTGAAAAAGATGCACCGCCTGAAAAATATCTGAGACTGATGGCCAGACATGAATACAGGTAAATTGTTTAACCATCAAATATTTGTTATTACATTTCTGGCAGAAATAAATTGCACAATATTTAAGTGGGCTTAGTTATTTACTTTTCTTGAGCATTCTAATCGAATGCCGTTTGATTTGTATTATAATAATAATTATTATTCATTGCCAATTTTCCGCAGGGTGGAAATCGAACACATACACGGGCAGATCGAAGAAAACCCATACCTAGCAGCGACTGCGATGCCCAGAGCCACGCAACCTTCGTCGGAAGCAAAACCACCACCGACCCCGCAGGCTGCTTCTGACAGCGACTCTTCTTCATAAATAATATACCATTTAAATAGTGAATTCCACAATGCTATATAATTGTTATGATGTTATAGCGTTTGTTGATATTCAATTTTAGATTGTGATCTCTTCCTCTAAAGTTAGATTATAATACATACTTTATACAATGTACATAATAAATTTAGTTTAGATGATAACGCGTATTGTCGAATACTCTGAGACGATATGACCACGAAAAGCACATTGATAAAAATATCCAAATCCACGAGCAAGCTGAAATAAACGACTACCTACTAATTAGACAAACTATTATTTTATATTTCAACTTAACGTGGAACGGTGAAATCTAATAACTGTGCCGTACTGTACAAATGAAAAATTAGACGCTTTTCATGAGTCATTTTTTTTAGTAGATTTTTTTATTAGTGAGCTTTTACGGTGTCGAGTTTACAAGATGACAATAATACACGTCGATATCGTTTTACGATATCTCCCTAAAACATTTTTTTACGCTCATTTAAATGCTTGGGGTTTCTCATTATTTTTACTAGTGACTTTTTGTATTAGCTGTAACGAATAAGTGTTGTTTTTTTCATACTCTGCCCGTGTCGTACATGTGCCATAATAATTATAATGTCATACGTTTAACGTAGGTAACAATAATAATACGTAAAAAAATCTATATTTATGTTTACGAAAATATCCATAACAAGTATTATATACGTGCGTATAATACGCGAAAACAATAATAATTATTCATTATCTATATACTTACCTAGTATATTATTATTATTACTGTTATTATTATTATTTTTTTTTTTTAACTTCTTATTTGTTTTTCGGTCTTGTTATTCTCGTGTAAATAATTTAATTGAATAATCCGTAAAATCATAAGCCACACACTTTCACGACTAATTTAGCGACTACGAATTATATATTAATAAAAATATAATACATTCGTTGTACATACGTGTCATATAGGCTTAAATAATCAGTTTACTGATCGTATATTGTTATCTGAAGAGATTTGAAACAAATACTAATAATTACCATAGGAATATTATTATACTATAAATACATCCCTATTGTAATTTATCATTGAAAACATAATGAAAAAAAAAAACATTGCGGTTATCCACAACAACCACTAGTCCACTGATATGCAGACCACGCGTGGTTAAATGGCTATAATACTAAATAAAATAAAATTAAGAATGAAACTATTTATTAACTTATCTACATAGAATCGTATTAAAAAAAAAAAAAAACAGTTTTTTATGGTCGTAGGAATAACGCATTATAATTATTAAACTTCGCCGACTCAAGTCACTATAATTATTGAAATTCTGGTCGATCAAAGACGACTATTGTTTCTTTTTCGTCTTGACTTTTCATATTATACATTCTTGGCGGTGTTTTACTGTGCAATTTAGAATATTATAATATCTTTCGATCAGCAATATGAATTATTATATTATCTATTCGTAATAATTATTTTACCGAGTACAGTGGTCTGTTAAACAATATCGAGACTTTATTTTTAACTGTAAGTCTTACGATCCTCTGTGAAATGTATTAATCGTTTTTGTTGCATATCATGAAGGTATCGAAAACTTTTGAACGTGTTATTTGTTATTAATTGTTACTATGTAAGGCGTAAAATATTAATGAAAATAATATATATTATTGTAATGATATTAACTATTAATATTACATAATATTTTACAAAACATTAACTATTAATATTGTTATTATATAGCTTTGATTGTTACCACTTAAGATTGAAAGGGCTCATCACATGTCTCGTCGTATCAAAATAATATTTAGGTACGCCCAGACAAGTGTACCCTGCCTGATGTGTATCTATTTGGAATACCAAATGACCGCATATTATGTATTAGTTGGACTATATATTATCCATTATCCAATACCTACCGGTTATAATATTATTACGGTGTAGTGAATTTTAAATAAATAAAACCTCCTTAGAAATTTGTCCCGAGTGCATATTAAGATAACTCAACATTCCGCGTTAAAGTCGATATTTATTAAGACGTATTTTATGTTAACATATATTTATATTATTATTATTATTATTATACGTACAAGCATAATGTATCCTCAAACATGTATTGTGATAAAACATTTTAGACGTTCCGTTTAGAGTATATTATTATTATTTTGTTGTTCTTCTCGGTATTAAGTTTGATCGGTTACTGAAAAAGTTATTGACGCGTTCGATTAAAACGATAAAAAATATATTGAAAATTGAAATCTTTCCAATATTAATTATATCTATTCCATCGTGTTATTTCGTTTGCGGCATACGAACACCTATGTATTTTATTTATGTTGTGTTTGAATGTTTCTGTTTTTTATTAGTGTTTTAAAATGTTTTGATGTTCGTTATTATTTAACTATTATTATATCTATCTATATTATTATTATTATTATTATTATTACTATCATCATCATACGAATCATTTGATTCCTATCACGTGTAAGAGACATTTTATTGTAAAGTATATTTTTTATTTAGTTCAGTATATTTGTTATAACAATAAGTACACATAACGAAACATTAATTAAGTGTTTATAATTATATTATATATGAACGAGTATACAATATATTCAGTATTCAGTGTATAACTATATAAAACACATTTAAGACTATAAATATAAAAATAACTTTACAACTAATTGCTGTTGTCTGTTTTTTTGTTCTGAACATTTATAACCTGAAGTATTTATTATGAAATCGTGAAATAGGCTTATGAATAATTAAAAATTATAGGTACATGTATTAATACTCATAGAGATATAGAGTTATATACCTACCTAGTACCTAGTAATTACGGTACCTACTACCTACCACATGGTGGTAGTAATATAACTACGATAATGGCAAATTCTCATTCATAATATAAAGTATAAACTGCCTCATAAGTCACAACAATGGTTGGTGCCGTGCAATTTTGGACAAATAAAAATTATGATTTAAGTTTATAAAAATTGCATTTGTAATTAAAAATTATTACATTTGAAAATTTATTGAATTCATTAAAATGTAGGGATTGAATGATGTTTTATTATCATATTGGCGTTAAAATAAATAAAACGTGATTATGAAAACATTAGTTAGGTAGTGAAATTGAACCTATAGGTAAACGAGTAAAATTCAGTAGGCAACTATTATCTCCGTGTTTATTTTATTTTCAATCTTTATTTTTGTTATTAGTTATAAAATACGTTTTTATTTATAATTATATTTTATCGATCAATTGAGAAACTCAATTAATACATATATTTAATGATATTTAGGATTTTTAAATTATAGATTTATAGATATTGTAATATTATCATTATAAACTTTAATTAAATACTTTTTTTGCCTAACACTTGGTATTGGGTAATGACTAATGGATACTACATAATATTATACTAAGTATTTTAATAATATTATAAGAAGGTAAGTATGAATAAGCTGTACTGAAAATTCTCGGTATTTCAGTATTTGAATTTTAAATTTAATCATACATTTAAAACTATTTTAAACAAATTTATTAGCAAATATGATAGGTACTTCATTTCATACTATCAAGTATTATACTGGCTAAACTCTATAGCGGCATAGGGCTATAGCTTAGAGGTACTAACTGGTAATATCTGGTAATATCCATAATAAAAGTATTTTTTCAAGATTAAATTAATAATTTTTTATTTTTGCAAATTATCTATGTTTAATTAAATCATCCAGTAGTTATAATATTAGTATAATAATAAATAAATGCTTCATGTAAATTTTTTAACTTTTACCTTCTCGAATACTGTTAAACAAAAAAAGAAAACGTCGTTTTATTGAAAAACATTGCTCTGTTCTTAGAACTAATATAAGTAACTATACCTACGACCTATCTTGCAAGGTATCTCTCATTTTTTTATTTCTTTACTAACTAACAATTGTAATTAAGATTTACTCAAAATATCAAACTAACATGTTTTTCATAGTCTACACAATTAACAAACAGTAATAGTATATTATTATTATATTTGTACATCATTGCACTTAAACTGAATATTTAGTGGTTTTTGATATCATTCACTGCTATAAATATCTATGTTTTTAATTGTAGTGCTGAAGCCTGAAACGCTACCTATATGAGAAATCTTTAACAACAAAAAGTATATTATATATATACATATAATTATGCTTTAAAATCTGAGAAAGTATTTAACACAAAACAAATAACAATATTGTAAACATAATTATTATATTCAAGTAAGTTACCAAGTTGAAATATTCTTCTCATTTTTTTTTAACTTCAATTTAATGTAATTTAATTATTTTATAACATTGTTAAACTTAAAATATTAAATTTTGGTATTTCTTATTTTTCAATAATGTTATTGTACCGAGTTTTTAATTTTTACTTGATTTTTTACGATATATTTTTTGACTTTATTCTTAGGTATGCTTTTATTTTTTAAGGTTCACAATGGTTTGTTTTTTCATTCATCAGGCAATATATTCTTGGATTTTAGATGAAGAGGAGAGTAATAATTTTGTTGAGTAATTTTTATTAAATCATCTGATTGACTATCTTCTTGTAAGTCCTTATTTGATTTATTTCTCGAATTTCGTTTTGGTTTATTATTTCTCTTCTTTGTTTTAGTCTTTGATTTTTGTCTTAATTTTTGATCTAAGAAGCCATCATCATGGTCCATATCAGACTCATCGGTTGATTTCTTGTTTGTTGCGTCGTATGCATTCTCATCTGATTTACTACCTGTATTGTTTTTAGATGTCTTACCTTTCTTGTCCTTTTTAGTTTTCACTTTTCTTCTAGGTTTCTTATCTCGTGGTTTCTTCTGCAAATTGCTCAATTCACTGCCTGATTCCCTGTTTGTTGAATTTGTTGAATTCTTGTCTGATTTACCACTTGATCCGTCTTTTAATTTATGACTTGATTTTTTACCTTCTCTACTATTTGAATGTTGATGCTGATGTTTATTTTTTAAATTATTGCCCTGTTTATTAGATTCGTCGCTTTGTTCATCGTGCGTTGAATTATTTAAAGCTTCATCTGATTCACAGCTTGATTCTTGTTTTAATTTATTATTTGAATTTTTGCCGACTTTTTTATTTGATTTCTGTGTTTTATGATTATTTTTTAAATTGTTACCATGTTTGCTGGATCCATCGCTATGTTCTTCGTTTATTGAATCATTTAAATCCTCATCTGATTCATCACTTGGTTTTTCTTTTAATTTATCGCTTGACTTTTTACTTACTTTACTATTTGAATGTTGATGCTGATGTTTATTTTTTAAATTATTATCCCGTTTATTAGATTCGTCGCTATGTTTATCGTGCATTGAATTATTTAATTCATCATCTGAATCATCGGTCGATTCTTGTTTTAATTTATTATTTAAATTTTTCCCAACTTTTTTATTTGATTTCTGTGTTTTATGATTATTTTTTAAATTGTTACCATGTTTGCTGGATCCATCTCTATGTTCTTCGTTTATTGAACCATTTAAATCCTCATCTGATTCATCACTCGATTCTTGTTTTAATTTATTATTTGAATTTTTACCAACTTTTTTATTTGATTTCTGTTTTTTATGGTTATTATGTTTGTTAGATACATTGCTATTCTCGTTGTTTATCGAATCATTTGGTTCCTCGTCTGTTTCATTATTCGATTCTTCTTTTAATTGTTTGCCTACTTTACTATTTGATTTTTTATGGTGATGTTTATTTTTTAAATTCTTATCGTGTTTATTAGATTCACCGCTATGTTTATCTTTCATTGAATTATTTAATTCCACGTCTGATTCACCACTTGATTTTTGTTTTAATTTCTTGTTTGAATTTTTGCCTACTTTGTTATTTGATTTCTGTTTTGTATGGTTGTTTTTTAAATTATTATTATTTTGGTTGGATACATCACTATTTTCATTGGTAATTGAATCATTTAATTCTTCGTTTGATTCATTACCACTTGATTCGTCTCTTAATTTATTACTTGAGTTTTCGCCGACTTCATTACTTGATTTCCGTTTCTTTTGCTTATTTTTTAAACTCTTGCCATGTTTATTAGATTCATTGTGTTTTGAATTATTTAATTCTTCATTTGATTCGTTACTTGATTCTTTATTATTTGACGTTTTACCGACTCTGTTGTTTGATTTTTGTTTTTTAAGGTTACTATGTTTGTTAGTTACATCACTATCATCATTTAATTTTTCACCCGATTCACCACCAATTGATTCTTTTTTTAATTTATTCTTTGATTTTTTTTCAGATTGACTACTTGTTTTTTGTTGCAGATTTTTATTTTTAAAATTATTGAAATTTTCGTCTGTGTCATCACTGTCTCCAATATCTGTTGAATCGATTGAGTTCTCATCTAATTCACTATTTGAATCTGCTTTTAATTTATTATTATTATTTTGTTTTAGATGCTTGTTTGAATATTTGTCTGATTGGTTGGTGTGAGCTTCTTTTAATTTTTTACTTGGTTTATATATTTTACTGCTGGAACTATGATTTTGATTCTTATTCTTTAAATTATTATGAGGTTTATCGAACTTCTTATCATGTGTTTCTAATAATTTTTGTTGACTTTTTGATATCTTTTCTGCTTTTTTATTTGAATTTTTAGTTGAATGTATTTCTGCTGCATTTTTTATGACTTTGTCTGAACTACTTGAATCTTCTAAGCTAGATCCGGTTATTTTACTAACTTTTTTATTCGATTCATTTGAATCTTTCGTTGACATATTATCTATTGTTGTATCCGTTAATATTTTACTTGATCTCTTGTTTATTTTATGAGATGATGTTTTTTTAGATTTCTTGCTTGTTGAAACATGGTGATCTTTATTTAATCTATGTATTGATTCATCTATTAATATGTTACTTGTTTCATCGTCTAATTTCTTCATTGACTTGTGACTTATATGTTTTACTAATTCTTCATTATTGTGTTTGTTATCATGCAATTTTTTATATCTACTTCTTTTTTCTTTCTTTTTTAAATGGTTATCCAATTCATGATTATTATTTTTACACGATTTCGCTGGTGATTTGTGATGTGGTTTTTTATAAATTACATCTCTCGATTTTCGTAAATGAGCGTGAGGATTCTTTTTTTTATGCTTTCGGCCATTAACATCAATTACCCAATAAAATGGAATCTCTACACTGTGTAGATTATTATTATTATTATCATTATAACTATTATTTTCACCATCCATATCGACCATATCACCCATATCATCCATATCATTTGTTAAAGCTAAATTATATGTGTCCATAGCCTCCTTCTTTTCCATGTCATCTTTAGTTTCAGGTGTACCATGATAATGCATGAAAGGTAAATCACTTTTTTTCGATACTTTGTAGTCAAAATCTGGGTATAAAAACCGAAAAATATAAATAATTAGTATATTAATAATTAATTAAAAGAAAGTTTGATATAAATAAAATATAATTCAACACTTTCGATAGTTAATATATTTATGAGTTGATAACAAATTGGTCGAGATAAACTGCAGAAAAACTTTTATGATTATTACCTAATATATAACAATTGTCATTATTAAAACAGTCAGTTAAGTTAATTATTAAACGTCTTTTATTTTAAAAATTTCGAAACAGGGTGTTTTGTTAAGCTTAAACTAATAGACAATAATTCAAAAAAACATTTATAAATAGAATTGTAGTCAATAAGTTCAAATGTAATTAATATTTAAAAACATATTTTTGAAACTATTCATTGTCGTTTATTTTTTTAATTACCTAATATTTATACTCAATTTATTAAATATAGGTCTAGGATCGTGATTAATCGCAATTAGATTTTCCGTGTGACAGTTTGGAAAATTATATTACAGCTTATTAGTTTTTAATCAGATTTTAAATTGTAATTGTTTTTAATTTATTTATCCATCTTTCATAAAGTGTGTCCCTTAAACCTTTAATCAAATGTTTCTAGTTACTTATCGTCTGTGTTTTAGATTAACCATCTTAATAAATGTATGTGTTTTACATAAAGGATTAAAATCAAATCAAATTAAAAAATTATGAATTAAAGATAAAAGTTTAAGAAAATATTTTATAAATTATATTTTCTGCCCATTGTATTGTTAATTATATTTGAATGAGCTAAATATACTTAACTTTTATTAAAATATAATTTACAATCAAAATCTATTAATATAATAAAATTCAATTTTTGGTTCTCCAAGTCTATTGTATGTTTTGAATATAAACAGCTTTAATAATTGCATTTTAAGAACCTACAGTTTTGATCCAACCATATAAATAATAATATTATACCTTATTAATTAAATTTGCTTACGATTTGAAGTAACAGAAGATGTGTATAGAATATGTTGTGATATCAGAATCCATAAAACATACTTATGAGTTATAAAGAATACGATCCAATTCTGGTAGAAATTCATTTTTATTTGATTTTAAGTATATTTCTTATAACTTCGAATGAATAACATAACGTACTATGGTGCATTTGTTTCAACTAAAAAAACAAAATATAATTTTGCTTAGAGCGAGTGTTCTTTCATAATAATAATGACATATGTTTGAATAATTTGTTATAATGTATTCATAACATGCAACACAATAATCTATTTTTTTTTTTAAATACTAAATTAATAGTGTTATTTTTTAATTATTTTAATTATCATAATATTATATAATATTTAATAACATAACTTTATCATAAAGACTGAAGATAAGAAATATATTATTGTAAATACGAATTTACCGCTATTTTAATGAGAAAAAAAATATTAACCACTATTAATATTAATACATTTAACTAGAGAATTTAAATATTAAATTAAATGTATAGTTTTGTAACTGTTTTTCCTTTAATAATTTATTTTAGATTTTTATTTTAAGTAATATGCTCCTAAAATGTCATGAAAATTAAGTAATTTATAGTAAAAATAATATATTTTAATAGTTTCTTGAAAATTTAAGCTTTACTTCCCTAAAAACGAAGTTTCTTAAATATAAAAAAACAATTAGTATATTTTAAAATTATATATTCTTTTATTTTTTTATTCACCGTATAATATAGTTCATATTACCTTTATGACATTTTATCATGATATAATTTTATTTTGTCCTATGCGTTTTATTTAAATTTGATATTATTTATTAAGAGCTATGTCCTATTGTAATATTGTGTTCAAAACATATACCTATAAATTCTATAACGGTATATTTTCATTAGTACAATCATTACAAATTATAATATTAATATACTATTGTGTCAAGGATCTTAAAATAAAAAAATTAATTTGAAAAAAAAACTGTTTCATAGACAATTCCGTTACCTTTTGGACTAACAGAAACCATTCTGATGATTACAATAGGTATTGAAAATGTGGTTGGTTTTTATTTTATTCTGCCGTTTTGTAATAAACCACGGTCACGAACAACCCCTAATATTCAATCATTTCAGTTTTCTGCATTAGTTTATTTCAAAAATATAAGTTTGGCTCAGTTGTATTTACATCCAAAAACAGTTACTTCTCTTTTTTTATTATTACCTTTTCCGCTATTCTATGTACGGCCCAACGCGTTTTATCTGTCCAATTTCATTTTTTCCTTCAATATTGTTACACAGTGTTATATAATGGTGTATTTGCTATTCTCCAGCATCTACGAAATAAAAAACGTTTTCCACTAGCAAGTCGTAAATTTACATTTATTCACTTGATATTTGTTGCAGATACCAAACGTTTTGTTCCTTATAATATTGTTCGAAGTTGTAAACCGTTACCAAATTTACTGATATTAATATGTAGAAACTGTTCGGATATTCTTGTCATTAGTTTTCAATTGTAATAATATATAATACGACTTTATCGAAGTTATAACACCTACACCTAAACACATATAGGTGTTTTTTATATTCAATATATTTAAATTGGATTATGGGTACATTAATTGGTTTTTCTTCGTATCCATCAGAGAGAAAATTGAAAACGTTGATAAAAGTAACACAATAGGTATATTATATAATTTTCAAATGAACTTGGAAAATATACAGAGAATTTAATTAAAATCTAAATTTTAATTTAATAATTTCCGACAGTAACACCGTAGTCATAGTTTGAACGTGTATTCATTTATTCTTACAAACATAAAAATATGTGCCAACAACTCAATTATTTACAACTTCATCATTCGAAATTTTTTTATCGATTTACCATATATTAACCTGGTTTTTAAATAATATTGACTTGTCACAGAAGTAGATTTTTAACTTGTCAATCTTTAATAACATATAATCTTTAAGTATGCCTACCGAAATATATTGTAATGGGGAAGTTATCGTTAATTATTTGTTTTACTAATAAATTGTATAGCTAAAGTTCATAAATTACGTATATGCGTACAACGTACCTATATAAATCAATAACTTAGACCTTAGTGTATAGGTAACTACGCTTGTAAGATTTCCTCAATTATGTTCTAAATATAAATATGATTTCATTAGTTAACTGAGTTCATTTTAACTTACTTTTTCTTTTATTAACTTATAACTTAACGAGTTGAAAAAATTCGTTAACTTGCCAAGCGTTGCGCATATGACGTAGCTTAACTATTATGTATATTGTTCAATGTGGATTCTTAACTACCTAATTTATTGTTTTATTTTACTGCTTTTGATTACTGTTTAGACGATAAATCATTTATTAAAATAATTGCATTGATTAATTAATGCTTTAATTAATATAGGTGGGTACTCGTATAATATGTTACCGTTAAGTAACATCTCCATTAACTCGACCATACACTGAATTGACGATTATGTACATACCGTTAACGCATAATGTTGTAGCCTGTTGGTAAATGAAATATTGGGTATGTAATCATTACGTAAAATTAACCAAGCTTCCTTGAACAGACAGTATCAAATAGCAATTATGGTGGTATAAATCTATACACCACTACTATACCTGTTAATAATTAATGATATTATAATTTATATAAAAATCTATTTAAAATTAAAAATATGTATCTTGAACCTATAATATCTATTGTATGTTATTTTATTTCTATCTATAATAATCGTGTGCATTTGACCCAGTGACCTATGCCTTGAAAGTGAGAAATTAAGTAACCACTCTGCTACTGTACAGTAGGTATCAAATATTATACCTCGTCTTTGAATAAGTACTGTAATGACAGATCATTGCATACAAAAACAATTCTGATCGAAGAATATGTTACCTACTAAGTATGTATATGTTTTTATGATATGTATTTATGTTGCTATTATATTTTGTTGTTGCTAATATTTATTTATGTTGCATTATTCTTATTATATTATTAATATTTAATTATTATAATTAAAGAACTTCCTATACATTAAATGTATATCATACATTATTGTTATTAACTTTTGAGTCAATGTCTACATTCTTGAAAACGAACTTTAATAGGTTTGAGGTATAAATAAGCTGCAATATGAGGTACAATTAATGGCAATGTTTTGAAGATTGTGACTTTGTTTTGTATATAAAATTAATAATATATGTAAACGTTTCAAATATCCACCCTAAATATTTTTCAATTATGAAAAAAAAACTAAAACCATAATTCATCGCTTATAATAATCTGAATTCTTTAAATGCCAATAAAAAAATTGTGTTTTTATATTTTTTGTTTCCAGTACAAATGTATGAGAAATATGTAGAATATTTTAAACCTTTAGATATAAAAATTAAATATTTCATACATTTTTAACTACAAAGTAATTTTCAGATTTACTTGAATGTTACCAACGTTTAAACTTCAAATGCTAATATAAAAAGCTACAATAACTAATTATTTTCAAAGCTTTTTTTTTATTAACATTTATAGACGAAAATCCCGAAAAATGTTAAATGTAATATGTCTATAAATTGCCCAAAAATATGCAAAATATTTTGAAAGTACATATAAATTTGGTGAAAATGTCAAGTACCTATCTACGGTAATTTGTTTTTTTAATTGCAACAAGATAAGAAAATAGAGTTGGTTTAAAACTGGTAGAGCGGATAAATTCCCGTTTTGCCCTATTTTTTTTTTTTGTTTTTTCCAATTATTAAGAAAAGTACTGGGACTTTTTAATATTTACGACCATAATGTACCAACTAGATGAAATGACCTACCATAAAAGATGATGAAGTCTGAAATCAAAGCTTTTTTTCTACTATATATTATTATCTATAGTGAATACAGACAAAAGAAATAAAAACCCACATCATGGTAAAATCAATACACCTTCGCTTCATATTTTTTTCGCGCATATCACCTATTCCAACTGACAAATGATTCCGGTACTCTATAACATGTTATTTTTTACCAGTAGTTACAACTATTTCTTGCAGGATAGGTACATATTTTAAAATACAAATTGTCTTAAATTAAAATTAAATTTTTTTATGGCTGTTGTAAGATATATATTATAATGTTGATTGATTTCTAAGAATTAATTAATTTAATGTTAACTTTAGCCTCGCACTAATAGGCACACTAATAGGTATAAGTATTTGAATTTCAATATTATTTTGTCTCACTGCTGAAGATGTAATAATTCACCAGAGCTCTCATCGCGGGATATTTAGTACTAAAATGGAGAATAAAACCGACACTGGCATCTCGTGCTGTATACATAACGAAATGTGTATGACTACGATAACACTTGCTGTAGTCATAAACTCGCAAATCATAATCCACGTCAATTAAGATTATACGAGGACGTTTAAAAACAATTTTGGAATTAAATGATGTATTACAATATATTATAAAAAGCATGTAATGATTTAATTACATAATATAAAGGCAGTTTTATATATATAAGCTCGCATTGCAATGTCTCTACTATGTTAACTTAATAAAAGTAGTGATATACCATATACGTGTCATATTATATTAGTCTTAATATTTTAATCAATGTTTTGTACCATGATCAAAAACATCGGGGACACACGCAGAAAATGAATACAGACATACGTACAGTGGGGGCAGAAATAAACTCATCCTTACCTCATTGCTGTTACACATTTCCAAATTCTTATGTTCCTAAGTGACATTTATGGTATACCTAATAAAAAAAACATACTTTTATAACAATTTCTTATTCAAAAGTTTCATAGAAATCTAGTTTTACAGTAAAAATGTAAATTACAAGTAGATATAAACTATGCTCAACAAACATATAAATAATTAATTCACTTTCTGGTTAGAATGATAAAATCAAACAAAAATACTTATCATTATTATATCATAAACAAATTAACTATTAATATTAGTAATAATAATAATAATAATAACAAAAAACAATGATATTTTTTCACGAATTAATGGAAAACGTGACGGTTTTCGAAACTGTTGATAGTCTTTTTCGGCTCGGTTCAACTTGTCTTTCTACGCCGTTTGGATTAGCCGAAAAAAGTAATTTCGGATCGAGAGTATTGGCATTCGATTCGAAGAACAAACTTGCCACCAAAGCCACTAATACGGTAGTTGCGAAACCAATGACTATGTAATACATGTAACTTATCCTATACAAATACATGTAATTTTCTTCGTGAATCCTAAAACGATAATATTCAATTAAGTACACCCTGATACAGGATATTTAAATTTAGATGGATCATGGATAATAGTTATCCTGGACGATAATATGTTCTTTAGTATTGATATCATATCGTGATACTGAAAATATGTTTATTGGTGATATTTTACATTTGTAATAAAAAGTTGTAATGTAGGTATTCTAATAAGTATTATTATGTAATAATATATTACAATTAAACATAAAATGCAAAATCAAATAAATAATATATGTATAAATAAAATAATGAAAAAATATGAATGATATTAAATTATATTTGGCTAGGCACTTAGGTACCTACTTAATACATTAACCCTATAATTGGTGATAAACTCTGACATAATAATATTATACCTAGTGGCTAGTAACGTATATTTGTATCGAATATCCATGTACTTATATCTGCAGTACAAAATTCAGGAAATGTGTTGATAAATGATATCAATACCTACATCACTACTTCGTACAGTGTTATCACGATTTTAACACTCATTCAGTAATCTCTCGGTCAGATTACTTATAATTTAATTCGAGGTTTTTTACTGCATAAAGGGATACTTAACATTATCTAAACTTATTTTTAACAAATTAAATTTTTTTACTTTATATCCGCGATTGAGTAGTAAAACAAACATTTTTTGGTCTTTCCCCACACCACCTTTGAGTTCAAATTTGAATTACATTATTTTTTTAGACAATATTTTGACTTATTTAGTTTTTTTTTTTTATCTGAATAGTTTAATTATTGAGAATGAGTTAGAAATCATATGAATCAGTGCAAATCATAGGAAATTACAAGGGACTTTGATGCAGTAAAAAATAAACAAATATTGTGAATAATAATAAAACTGCAATATTTTTCTAAATATTATTCGTGTTATTTTATTTAATTATTTTTTGATTGAACCTTATCATGTGATTTCCTATGATTTTTTACTCCCTATTGATCACTACATTTTTAAGATGGAAAAAAATTGGTAGGTCAAAGTGTTTAAAAAAAAATTATGAAATTCTAATTTGAAAAATGTGGTAAAATTGTTTTTATTGTTTATATGCTGAAAAAAGTAAAGTGTAATATAAAGTCATCTACGTCGGATAAAAATACCCCGAGTAAAATGAATGGTCATCAGGCCAAAATGTTTAGTGTTAGGTACCTGCCTTAAATCGTGTGATCACACTGTATAATATGTTTGAATCTAATAAACTATATTTTATACGGGTGATACCTCTTACATGATAAGTGAAACCACACACGTCGGCTGTACATTCGGCCCAAACAAATAGGTAATAATATAGGGATATTTAGGACTATTATTTTATTCAAATTACGTGATCCATTCAAATCTCAAACGTTCAAACTCAATTCATGAGATATAAAATATCGTTATAATCATTGTATCATATACTGTAGGGAGCATTACGTACATGGAACATAATAGTGAATAGTGATATAGTGATACTCACTCGTGTGTGGACATAGACGTTGGTAGTAGTAGAGTGGCGGTAGACGAAGCATTTACACCGTAGTCAAGAAACGAGTCCGGCGAACACCCGTTGGTGTAGGTGGGCAAATTGTGCACCGGTGGTTTGGGTCCTCCTAGTCCCAAGACGAACGAAAACACGAGGCCCGCGACCAGACCCACCAAAGCACCCTGTATACAAAATACACATTATGTACCGTTATAACAATATATAGTAACTTTTTTTTTCTTGTTAATCGAGAGCCAGAGGAGGAACCGCGTTAGCATTACTTCGCTCTTCTGGCTCCCATCGTTTATATTGAAATAAATGAAATTTCAACAATATAGTAACTAAAACCGATCGAGTGTGACAAAACAAAAATTAATATAGCCGTCAGCCCACCACGCGCATTACAATTTTTAAAATTTGATAGATCACCAACTACCGCTCATAAAATTGCAAAGTAGATCACCGCCCGCTAATACTAAAATTACCTTAATTTCCTAAGCTGATGTACTATATTATTGTTTGTATTATATTATATAATTTCTGGTTAGTGATGGTAAATATCATCAAAACTAATACAATTGTATAGGGGCGTACCCAGTTTTATTATTATTATTTTTTTTTTTTGAGGGGTGATGCTGGTAAAAATAATTAATATATAATACCCCAAGGTACAAAATATTGTAACAAGATTATGAAAAAAAATAGTGTAAAAAACTGTATAAATGAGAGGGGTTTAAAAAAAGTTCAATGGATACACAAGACAGTAAAAAAATGTTGTTTTCTATTTTTAAAATTTTTAATTTCTTTGCATTTCTTCTAATTCCCAGATGGTTATAATTTATAACTTATAACGAAAAACTAATTACACAACGTTAACGTACATATATTTCTAACTTAAAATCATGTCTCACATAATTATTGTTGTCATTTTTAGCACCATATGGCGCTTGGCAATGCTGAGAATGTAAAAAAAATAGTGTCATACTAAAGCGTAATATTGTTTATTCATTCACAATTTGTTATTCGTTTATTTATACTAAGAGTTTTAAGTTTGAAAAATAATTTTTTAGTGTAGGTATTCACTCATTTAGTAAAACCATAATTTGATTTATTGTAGGTATAAAATATTTTCAAATTTAATGTTGTTTAAAATGTGTTCATTTTATTATAATATATAAGAAAAGGTTTTCAGATATTTTATACATACGATACATTACTTATAGTTTTACCAAAATAATAATATAGGTAGAGCAGTGTATAAAGTACTCTAAAAAGATATCAATTTCTAAATCTATTTTTTCAAACTTAAAATTAAATAATATTATTAAACAAACAGCAACAGGCGAAATAGGTAAGGAAAATCGGTACCCTAAATAATTATGTGTCAAGCTATTTTTTATTTTAACTTTAACTGAGACAATAAAAATTGGGCTCATTATAATAATAATAGTATATTATTTCTTTCTAAGACAATGGTCTACATTGATAGCTCGGTACCTAATATAGTTAGTTATAAGTAATTACTATTATATTATCTTATTATAGTATCTGCCAAACTTTTGGTCCTTTTTTTGTAGAAAAATAGTATTAACAGATAATAATAATAGAAATAAAGACATTATAATAGCTTGGAATGTACGGAAAAAACTTCATTTTTAAATCTTTCCCAGATATTTCGATAACACTGCAGCCCCTTCTGCCCCTCCTCTATAAAATATACCTATGCGATTGCAATTTTCAGTCCACTGTACTATTTTTTTTTCACCATGCGTATTATTTTAATGAGTCTCTAGCATTAATGTGTGTCACGAACGTGCGCTTGCAACGAAACACGGTGGTTACCTTTTGGTTTGCGTACGGTATGAGTATGCCCAGAGTGAACACCGCCAACATAGGTCCTCCAATAATTCCCAAAATCGTCATCGATGCCTGCAGCAGTGGTCCCACGAAATGCGCACAAAACGCCAAAGCTATCGATAGAATCCCGTAGACGACGACAAGCACTTTGAGCCACACCACACGTTTGCCATCGGGTATGTCGAAGTTCGTAAGTGGCTATATATAATTATACACATCCGAAACACATTCCAGTAATATTATAGCTTCACACTGTTTTAATGATAATAATAATAATATTTTAGGATGAGCACTGTGAAGTGTGATAAAAAGTATAAAAGTGTAAATCAGGTACAAGCTATACAGGGTGTCCCGTGAGGATATACCCGTTAGCCGTAGAGGGAGATTCGTCTCCCGGACAAAAACCGGGTTTTCGCCGTTTTACCTATAAACTAAAAGAAATATTGAAAATCATAATTTTCATAAAAATAAACCCTATAAAATGGACATCTTCAACTGTTTCAAAAATGAAAAAAATAAAAATAATTATTTTTTAACTTTTTTACCATAGAATATAATTAAATTAAAAAATAAAATATGTGTAGTATCCTTGTCTTTGTGATTCTAATAAAAAAAATAGATTTATGATAAATTTATTATCTCAGGAGTTAAAGAAATGGGTAAATCATCGAGGGACATCCTGTATATATATGTGATACTTTTAGAGCTTAAAATTACAAAAATATTTCATCCCGTGGTTAAAAGTTGTTGTACACATACAACAGCTGTTTACCATATTATATATCTAATTGTATATTTTGGACTTTATGTCGACCAGAGTTTTTGTATTTATCACACGTTTAATGAAATTATGGTTTATTTTACTTCCAAGCACTAATAGTTAATTAAATTTGTGAGACAGAGCAGTGGAGGCAAAAAAAAATTAATGTCAAATTTTACCGTGACGTAGTCCTCAAGTGTGACGGCTGCCAGTGAATTGAGGGCTGCGGACACGGAGCACAGAGCGGATGAGCAAACACCCGCCAAAAACAGGCCGGTTAATCCAGGTATGTGGGTCATCGTGTCCAGCACGAACAGAGCCATCAGCTGATCGCCACTAGTTATTCTGCCCTCCCTGAATACACACAAACACACGCGAATACAAACGCCTTATCAGTAAGCCATTCTATAACTGAAAGCAAGGTCGAGGAGTCCCAACTTGATCGGGTCACAGTCCCGGTACTTGGAGAATATGGCCAGGCCCGCGAAGCACATGGACAGCGACAAGAACGCGGTTATTGGCCAACAGAACCACAGGGTCCTGACCGCGGTACCGTAGTTCTTCATGGTCAGGTAACGTTGAACCTGCACCTGGTTGACACCGTACACCGAGACGTACGTGAACATTCCACCCAGCATCAATGACCACCAGCTGTGCCTGACCGTCGGGTCGATCTGAAAGCTGTCGGAACGTCCGTGTACATTAATATTGGGGAACGCACCCACACACTGTGTACCCACTCGTTTCAACGCACTTGAACAGTTCTACGCGACCGTAATCGTAAGCGATCCTCCAGATCCCTGACAGTCCGCCGACTTCAGCCGCTGCCACCGCGATGACGGTGAAAACGGATCCAAACATGAGCAAGGACTGCGCAAATCGAAAAACGTAATTACATTATAAGTACAATTTAAAGCCTGTTTAAATTATGACCTCGTGTTGTTTCAATTGCCATGTTATTGTCATTGTCATGTCAATTTTACGTTAAGCACAAATTCCTATAAGTCTCATTGCTATACATATTTATGAGGATAATGGACAGTTTTTTGAAAATTTCGTCAATTAACTGTTTTTTTATTTTTATAGCTGGATTAGTCGATAAAATGGCAATTAATTTGATTACAAAGTTAAAATGCCAAATGGCTTAGTACATTTCCAATTCAAAATATTACATTATATTTTATAAAACAAAAAAACATTTTACTCAAATTGTCTGTAAATACGGTATTTCCCTCAACATCTCTTCATCGTCGTTTTAGAATTTAATTAACTATGGCAAACCTTTTTTTTCAACCTAAGACCTTTTAATATTCAACATTATCAGCACCGACAAACACATAATTAAATTTAAATCATCGTTGGCTTTATTACACCTTTGGCTATTAACATTTTTTATAATCATAGATTATTAATTATATTATTACGGTTTATAATGTATTATTTTAAGTATATCTAGTATCTACAATTCTGAAATTGAGGATGGAATACCTTATTATACTAATGTATAAGTAAAGTGATGATGTTATGCTATCCTGTTTTGATGTTCAAGTATGTTTAATTTAAAGCACAAATTCAATAAAAACTTCGAACTAAGACACGTGTCCTGGAAATTAATTTCTCGGGAATAAATATTTTTGTAAACTCGAGTTCTATATATAGTATAATGTTCATTATTTACAAGTTTACAACAATAAGTAATTTAGTAATAGAGAACAAACTTTAGAACAAATTAATCACTGGCTTCTGAGCCTGTTATATAATTTGGTAGGTATGTTAAGTCATTAGCAAAATTGAACCAAGAATTACTTATTACATCATTCCAAAGCTTCAAAAATAGAAAACCATTTGTACAATGATGATTTAAAAATGTAATTTGAACTTTGGGAAAAAAATAGAAAATATAATAATCATTCGTTTTTTTTATGCAATACACTACTTCCTTAAATCCATTTGATGAAATGTTTGTAGGCCACAAAATTTCCAGATTTCGTGTACATCACGTACTTACACCTTTATAAAAGTTGAATATTGTCATTAGAATATTTTAAAACTTTATACTATAACTCTGCAAACATTAATAATTATAGTTGAAGTAGAGATTATATTTAAAATAATGAATGAATGTCGGGAAACAATATTTCGATATTGTTTCAGAAAATTGTATTTTCAATCAAAGGTCATCGATTTTAATTATAGAGTTTCGTTTACTCTTTATACTATTAAATATATTATTATTAATATGATCAAAGTCAAATAACATTTTATAGGGAGTATCATACAAATATAATATGAACATTAGCCATTAGGTAGTATATATTATATTGTTTATAACGTTTTAGATATCAGAGTCGAATTTCAACTTTTCCTGTAATCGGATTTGAATTATAGCAACTAAATTATATTTCAATAAGTACTTCAGCATGTGATCGTATTACATATTATTTACATTTCATTGATATTATGAAAATAATTCTATCAGACGAGTAGGTAAATGGAAATTGTAAGCCATCTAGTATTGTTTAATATGATCCGTCATTTGCATAAATATATTCCAATATGATATTTGAATGAGATAATTACTATATTAATATTGATGATTCACTTATCGTTGAAAACCAAATGAACTCATAACATGGCAAATATTACCAATGCAATGAAGTCAAAACTAAGTTTAATTTAATTTAAAAAGCTGATTGTAAGAGTAGGAATCGCTGCTATGCAATAGCTGTTATGGCCGTAGCCCCTGACTTATGTGCTCAAAACTATTTTGTTTTAACATGCGCCTTATTGATCGTAATATGCAATGGCTATACACCATTCGTACATGAACGTAGTAATATTCAACTTTTGTACCTCGTGAAGTTCTGACGTTTTGTTATTTACAATCGAATCTGTGAATATACACTTTTTAATGTCGTCAATGCGGAACCTTGGTTATATCGTATACAATTGAATAGGTCATTTGGAAAAGGCCATATCTCCATAAAATGAAAATTTTCAGGAAACGTAAAAAACTGTTTTTAGAAATGAAAATTTAATTTATACGAAAATTGAATAATGGTTGAATTATTTAATTCCCTTATAAAAAACCAACTATGATATAATATTAATTATTTCTACCCACTGGATTATTTTATGAGAAAATTAACGTGTTTGAGATGTGACCTTTTCCAATGGATGGTAAATGTATTTAATGTTCATTGATTATGACCTTGTGACTCTGATAAATTGTTTATTGTATAAATTTATCACAGGAAATATGCATTATTATTAGTTAAACACATCTATCAAATAAAACTTGTTATGAAAATGTGTGGATAAATGGCCTTTTCGAAATGACCGATTCAATTGCAATCCATGGAAAATTCAGAATATTAATATTGAAGAAAGATCAGAGAAATCATTGGGTAGGTATATTTTTAGAACACTCGTGTAGTAGACAGTAGTACGTTGCTCGGGCAGATTATAGGTTTGTCGTATACATCACAACGATTTTGTATTACACTATTATGAAGCATTCCAATAATATTATTATCGTCGTTAAATCGTTGTAATTGAATTACCTACTAGAATAGTAGAAATAGTAAAACATGAAAAAATAGCTTTGAATCGATAACCCATATTATAAGACCCTGGGCTGACCTGAAACAAATCGGTGACGATTACGGCTTTGATGCCGCCGACGGTCGAGTAAAACGTGCACAAAATGCCGACGACCGTCATGGACGCTGTCTGCGAAAAGCCAGCGATAGCGTTCAGAGCCAGCGAGGCCGCGTACAGTACCAGTGCAGTCCTCAGCACCGTCTGAATGCTGAAAGCCACAGACGCTAAGATTCTGGTCGACTTGCCGAAACGCTCTTCCAAATACTGAAATAACAACAATATAATATTTTATATCGATTTATTTTCCAATTCTAACGATATGTATTTTAAATTGTTCGGTGAATTCTTGTATATACACCCAGTGGCGTATTTAGGAGGGAGGCCCCCTAGGCCAAAGCCCATAATGAAATTGCATGTATTATGTATATCTACACTGTTTATAGTTTAATTTAGCCAGTTAATCGATTGATTAAAATCGTTTTTGAGGAATCAACAAGGAAATGTGAGATTGTCAGGACTTGTTTCGATGACTTTAATGTTAAATTCATAGTAATATAATATAGGTATCTGGTATATATATATATATAAATATATATATATATACATCCATAAAAATTGTCAAATTTTTATTTGTATTGTATAATATGTTATAATTATAACCACTCAGCTCCCTAAAAAATGTATAGTTATGGCTATGTAAGTCGTGCTATGCTTGACTAGTGATAAATATTGGCCCATAATGAAAATAATTTGTGTATACACCACTGCGCCCTCCACATGATTGTGGAGTATATTATTATATTATAATATTATATTATCTGGTAGGTCGTTTGAAGTGTTCACATTATAATATCCGCACGGCGCACACCAACGCCGAATATTATTATAGACGCTCGTCTAACCTAACCTATAGTATAGGTAATAGTAATGTGTGACGGACGGGTTGTTTTCTTTTTATTTATTTTTCGGTTTTCATTTGAGCTACCTATATACTTGAATTGCGTCGTTTAATTACAAGGGAAATGTACAAAAGAAACATTACCTACATAGTTACACGAACTTCGAGCCGGCGAATTCCGTTGAAAATTACTACCCGACCGAAGTTTAGGGAAAAGTCCGAAAGGGCTAAAATCGAACTGCTATGAAAACAATGGCGCGTAAATATATTATATTTCAGCAATGATCAATAATAAACTAGGTGTTCCGAAAATAACACGGAAACCTACATTATTTAACTTGATATTAAATATTCAATAACTTTAAACCAAAATAAATAATGCATTGCATTAATTTAGTTAAATATAGACATTACATATTATAAAAATGCATAAGAATATTGAGACATTATCTAAAATATAAAAGCTACCAGAATAATGTGTCTTACATAATATATCGGAAAATCATATCTTAGAGACATTTAGTTTCCTGTCTTTCTTTTTCACGGTGTACGTATTTCAAAAGATTTTTCTTTCTTTTGATAAGTACATATTAGCATAGCATAATTAATATCAATTTAAATTATGAATGTTTTGTGTTTGCAAAATTTAACTACCTACCTATATTATAAGTAAGTAGGTACTAAAAATAAAAATAATAAAAAATAAATGAAGGGAGAAAAGTGAGAGAAAAGTAATTATGAATTATTAAACGCCTACGTAAAATGTCAAATATTTGTCGGGAGTTTCATTAAAATATTTAATGATTATAATTATTTATAATCTCCCATTATTAAGTACTTATATAATAGGCGTTCTGCAGCAGTGTGGTTAGTAATCGTAAAATATAATATTGTGTTCCTTATTATTAATTATTGTAGATAATAACGAAATATATTAATAAAAACATTTGAACAAATTTTTACCCAATACTGATTTACCTGGTAGACGGATAAATATCCGAGTTTATAGAATACTGGTAGGAACACATAGGCGACAATAGGTGTGCCGATAATATTGGATGCATTAATGACCATAAATTGTGTTCCTCTCAAATAGTTTTCGGAGCTTAACCCGAACATGGCTGTAGCACACATGAAACTGGCCATTAACGAAAACCCCACAGGTATAATTGACAATTTCTTGTCTCCCAGCATGTATTCCTAGAAATATCACGAACAATATTATATATATATTTGTGAATGTGTGAGTGTGTGCACTGTGTATAAATATGTAATTTACAATCATCCGTGCGACAATCCATTAGTAAATGAACAAAAAATAACAATTAATTACAACCAAACCATTGTTTTTTTTTTCGGAGCACCCGGGATTAACAATGTATAGATGTTTTTTTTAATTATTAATTTGTTTTATTTCTGGTATCGGATTATTTTGTATTTGTTTGTATTTATTATTTTTACCCTACCAGCTTTATTTTTTTTTTTTTACATATAAAGAAAAAGACGGGACAACCACGGCCATTGGCCCCGTAGACAAAAAAAAAACCATCTTTTAATAATACCTAACATATTACATCCGGTCAACTATATAATTATTGAAATATATTAAGAACAATTTAAATTGGATAAAATTAATTTTATAACATAATATTATTTAATTATTTGTTTAAGCCCGATGATTGAACATTGAAAATATCAAATAACTGATTTCAATTACCAATACTAATAAGATTATAAAATGTAGTTTACCAAGAATTAATTTCTAAATGTACTGATATCATATTAATTTGTTTATTGGTTTTACTTATGTCCTATCTGATATTTTACACCATAGTATGATGATATGATATGATAGGTATATCGTATACTGAAAAATAAACATATTAATCACGCAGTGAACAAACTGATAATTACCATATTCTATATTCCCATGCAGTTGTGAAACGTGGTAATCATAAAGTATGGAATATAGATACATATTTTAGGCTTCTAAACATAAGTTTAGAACACTTTGTATCTCGTTGTATCCACTCGTCCGTTAGGGTCGTACATAGTTACGATTTTTGATATTAAGATGCTTATTTTTTGTCGCTACGTTCCTTTAGTTACAGTAGATAAATATTGTATAGGTATCGAATTATAATTTTATTGTGTTGTATAAAAATACGTTTAAAAAACGTGAATTTAGGCGAATTTAGCACTCTCGCAAAGTGAGCTTTCCTAACTAGTTTAATATTCAAATTTAAAAAGTGATAAATAATAAATCACCATACAGGTAATCACACAGGTGGATTTACCTCAACCAGTTTATATCCTTATTGAATGCGTTTTTTTTTTAATTCTGATTATGATAATTTTTTAAATAATTGGAGTTCATATTAATTTCAAATATATTTTCTACTTTTTGCCATTTAAGGACTCCTGTGGAGGTAGTGAGGTACAAACTTTTTTTATTTAAATGAGAATCCCCTTTTTCTACTGAAAATTGTGAAGCAGATGATTTTTGTGAAAATCGTTTTGTATCTTAATCGAAATTCGAACGAGAATAGTCTCTCGAGAAATCATTAAGTACTATAGATAATAGTCCTAAGCAATGGTTTTACATAATATATCAAAATATACATAGTATTTTTATTTAGTCTAATACTCTTACAATATAGTTTTTTTTTTAATACACACAGGAAACAGAGTGAAGAAACCGGTACATCGTCATAACTCATAGATAGGTATATTAAAGCTAACTCATGCACTTGCAATTACATTTTTTTTTTACATAGTTTTACATAACAGCTAATGAACGTACAATATAGTACCTAGTTTTTATGCTTGGACAATTTTTACAAATTATAAAGTTTTAGTAAGTCATTATTAACATAATTTTCAAATTATCATACCTCTCATATCGCTTAACTTTTAATATTGTGGATTATTATATCCTTAGTAACAAAAGTTGAACAATTCAGAAAAGTTTTTACCACCAAGGATCAGTACTTTAATGGTAAAAATAAATCTAGGGATTTGAAAATTTGGTCCTTAAATATTCCGGAAATTTCAAAAAAAAGTTAGTAATTTAAATAAATGAGTATAAATTCATTATTAAAAGAAACTATGAAGGTGAGCATAATTGCTATATTTCCACGTTTATACACATTTCTGAGTGTCCTGTGAGCAGGAAACTTCATCTTTTATCTATGCCTGTGAACTGTGACGATACAAACTTGATTTTATCAAATGACAACCATCCTTTTTAACTGTAAACTGCAGTTTAGCAAATGATTATTTAAAACTTTTTATATGTATATCAAAATTAAAATGAGTAGTTTCTGAATTATTAAAATGTATAAGCTGAGGGTAATGGCCTTAAAAATGGTTTTATAAAAATATCAAACAGATAATATAAAAATATTGTATAAAGTATTTATTATACTTGAAGAATTTTTACAGATCATAAAATGCTAAAAATGCAGTGTTGGGTTGGGTAAGTTACTTTTAAAAAGTAATTAGGTTACATTACTCGTTCCTAAGAGATAAATGTAATTAAGTTATTTTATTCGTTACTCAAATAAAATTGTAATGAAATTACTTTACTTTTCAAACAGAAAAGTAACTAATTACTTTCCCGTTACAAAAAAAAAAATTTTTAATTTCTTGGAAATTATCTTCTGCAGGCAAATTGAACAAGCAAATTCTTTATAAAACCTGTGTAGTTAATAGGATAGTATAAAACTTAGTTTTCCACACAAGCTATTCATAGAAAACCTATTTAAAGGAATCAAATTAAATAATAATTATAGACAGTTTAAATGTCAAAATCATTGAAAACTGAATTGTGGCGAGTTAAAATTAAATATATATACACATTAGATTGGTAAACATAATAATACCCGCTTATACACATATTTTTTTTCAATTCGCAATAGGTAGGTAGGTACTTAATAATTCGAAACTGTAACGCGTTATTCTATAGAAATTACTTCTCAAAAGTAATTTACATTACATTTTCGTTATTTAGAAATAATTCTAATGAAATTAAGTAACGCGTTACAAGCATAGTAAAGCCTTTACAGTAACCTCGTTACTTTCGTTACGTTACTACCCAACACTGTAAAAATGTAATTAAACAAATTATTTAACTTTGTCAATTTAGTTATTTAAACTATGAAAATGAATTAATGTAATTTTCAAACGATTAACTCCCATATCACTAAACCCATTATCATGGGTTCCTTGTATTTAAAGTTTAATAACTTAAGTACTACTAGATGAAATTTCGTTTTAGGTACATCAACATTTTCAAAAAAATTCATCCGATTAACAATTTATTGAAAAAATGGTGATTTTCATTTGAAAAAAAAATTATCTGTATCATCAAATTCCTGTGAAAACTCTTTAACATTGTAATGTGTGATAAAAAATTTGAATAGGTATTTTAAAATATGGTCCTTAAGTATACTAAAAATTTCCAAAAATTATAATACATATAAACTCAATGTTAAAAGAAAAATGCAGTGGATAGACCATAGATATGCTTGGTGAATCATCATGTATATTGTATAGCTATTAAAGTCGATGTATTGGCCAGTTTTTCCAGGCACGACAATACGTTCAAAGAATTTAAATATACTTTTTGAATATTTGTCTTGGTTGCTTTCCTAAAGAAAGAACTCGACGGTCGTACGACAAAAACATTACTTAAAATATTATAATGTTATGGACGATCGGTGCATATAATTATTATGTTTTACCTGTGTCGTTTGCTGTTTGCCACCAGTGAGCCGGTAATACACCCCGATCGCGGCGGACGAGAGCAACGTGACCGTGAGCACAACATAATCGAAAGCACCCAGAGCCATATATATCGTTATGTATATTAATATATTTATATATTATATTTAAATAATTAACACAATCAACACGACTAAAAATACACGTATATATTAAAATATACGCGCACTGTAAATTTAAAACATTATACTCATATGACAACGAGAGACACTTTGAATTATAATAATAGTAATAACAATAAAAATAATAATAATGATACAAATAAAATGAAATGAGCGTTTAACAACGAATTTTATCGGCACTAATCACTCTCATTCGAGTTTATAATCTTCATCTGATACAACCACGCATCAAACTAAAGCCACAGTAGGTATATACAAGACCAACCAAATGTCGAGTTATCACAAAACCGGTGGGGATTACGATATCAAGAACGTACATGTAATATTAATATTTGTTGTGCATATGTGACGCATATCTGATAGAATATGGTACATGATATAATAACATTAATATGCCGAATGCATGGTTACATACTTATAACTTATGAGTAAATATTTAAATATTTAATTATTATTTTATATATTTGTTCATGTTACATATTATATGCGTATAATAGCAATGTTGAGAGATAATAAGTTAAGGTGAAGTCAGACTTCTTTAGATTTAGTTATAATTAACTTAATTGATTTGTATTGATATTAACTTAGCAAGAAACGATCGTTACTTTCAATAAAATCCAAATAAAGTTTATTTATAAGTAATTAGATAATTAATAGTATTATAAAATAATTAGGTATTGATGACATTGTTGCGCATTACCCAAAGTCTCTCAATAAAAATATATTATTTTTTATACCATACTGGTATTTCAGAAAAATAATAATAATATAAAAAATACACCAAGAATGATAATAATATAACATATTTTCGTTATAAGTCATATGATTTATATTAAATTATCTATTGGCTATTTGCAATGATACGTACTTATATTAAAAATGCAAATACAAACTTTGTACTACAAGTTTGTAAGTTAATTGTTGCGGTTTCTATATAACCATTAAGTTTAAATATTTAATTTTTTTTTTTATTTACTTAACACTGTTCAAAAAATATCATTAACTCGCCCATCCTTGCTTAATACTCTAATACCTATGATATTATAATAATAGCTGAGATTATCTCGTCTCACGCCGTATAATATAATATACAATAGGCGCCGTCTTCGTATTATATACGACCGCGAACTATTACCGCCTAACTCGGTGATAATAATACTTAAATTTATAACATCACGGTGACATTTATATATATATATATAAACGTATTAGATGTCCCTCGTCGGGTCATACTATGATATATGATTTCTCGGTCTCGTAATCAATTCGCGTCGATTTTATTTCAGTTCGAGTGGTTTGATAAATATTATTTCTCTGATTAATACTACAATTTAAGATGGCTTCAGCGAGATCGTTATTAGCACGAACGCTACCGTATGATTAAACGTACACAATTATTAATATTTCAGTGGGTACAAGTGGACAAAAATTACTATATTATAATATTATATTGGTATAAAACTATAATATGAGCAGAAGTCCCGCTTTCTTCGGTACAGTACAGATTTCAAGCAGGTGTCCTAAACTACATTTTGTGATCAAATCGGGACTGTATTACTGTAGAATGTTTCAATTTTAACTTAAACATCCCGCTTTTGTCCCGATTTCGAACAAATTGTTATTTTTTCCCCCTTAGAACTACCTATATTATAAAATATTAATTGATTGTACTTAGTTATTATGCATTAATATTTAATACATACTATCTTAGTATTTTTCTATTTTTTTTTTTTTTGCAGCCCCCTAGACAATATACTTTTAAGGAGGGGCAACTCATTAAAACCAATCTTAGTTGGGTCAAACAAAACCCATCTCGAAAAATAACAAAAAAATCAGATTGATTATCCTCCTCGGACGGGCTTCAATATTGTTTGTTCCGTTTTTACAGGTCACATAATTACATAGTTATATATTATATAGGCTATAGATACGACATTGTTGGTATATACAATTATTATAATTATATCTCATGGATTTTTTGTCGTGGTAAAGCGTCGTTTTGAAGACCGAGAAACGGGGCCTTTATATTATTATAATATGTCACGTATATAATATTATACGAACGGTGCCGTCGACGATATGCGCGATACGACTTTTCGTTTATTTATTTATTTATTAATTTTCCTCATTTCATTCGTAAAAAAAAAAAAATATAATAATAACACGCAAGCCTATACACCGGAACCGGATTAATAAATAATTTAATAAATATTGACTTTGCATGCGTCGAACGACTGTCGTGGAAAAAAACAATTTCGAAAAACAAAACGTCTATGGAACAAAAAAATGAAAGTTTTCGTCCACTATTTAGGGGTTTAATGTACACGAGGTCGACCACGCTCCACCGACTGCAACTGCTACCTCTTGCCGGCAGCCGGCGAAATTCAAATATGCAAAATATTATAATATTATATTATATTGTACAGATGCGTGGTGACCGATCGAATTACAATACGCAGGCGATGTTACGGAATAATTATTACCTATTGTTTGCTATCGACTGCAATTACAATAATATTATAAAAATATTTATAGTTTCAGCATTGAATTTTGACCTTAATACCTGCTTATACTAGGCAGATACACTCTGTATACCTAAATATATTATACGCATCGTGTACATAGACTTATGCACGCGGTTTGTTGTTGTCAATAATTTTGTTGTAATCGAATAGTGATTTAATTAACAGCGCCGATTAAACCGGGCTCGACATGATAATTATACGATGTCTTATAATTTATACTCGTCAATAACAAGCTACAGATATCGAATTATTACTGCAGTCAAACGATATTATAGTTATTATAACACTCGAGTGTGACACTTGTTAACTGATCCGGCGCTACTGAACCATTAGGTATATACATCCATTGTTCTTTAATAATAATAATACCTATAATACGTTAATACCACTGTACGCATGTAATGTATGTAGGTGACTATAATAATAATTGAAGTCGAAAAATATTGTTTTCAGTATCGAATTCACTTCGATAGATTCACAGAAGAACCATATTGACGCGTATAAAGCTTAAAAGCTTTTGTTTGCCAAGTTTATTCCTTTTTTTTATTTTTCAATTTACCACCGTCGCATCGTACTATTTGTTCGCTTTTTGGAATTTATTTATTTATTGAAAACGGGTATAAGAACATTTTAGTAAAGTAACATAGTACAATTAGTAATTGAATAATATTAATATGTAAACAATAAATGGTAAAAATTATAAAAATATAACCAAGGAAATTGAATAAACTCAATAGTAATATTAAATAGCAACTAAGTAATTTATAATAAACTAGATTTAAAGCTAAATATACACTTAGTTTAAAATAATCATGTGACATAAAGAAGAAGTATCTATGCGATCGGCAATAAAGTCATAGCTGATGAAAAAGTACTTGATAATAAAAAGAGACGCCAAACTGCGTAGTCGTTTTTATAAAATGGAAGGTTAGATATAATTTGGGTATAGGAATATTATACATTTCTAATACAAAGGTTAGGTAATTATATAGAAATCCGTGGTATTACCATTATTTCAATAATATTAAAGGGTTTCGGTCGAGCCCACGTTGTTTGCAGGCCACCCGAACGGTATAAAGAACAACAATATTCCGTCCTCTCTTGCCGGGTTCATGTCGTCGTCAGTTACGGTGGCGAACTATTGATCCCACCCCATCCGTCGGGAAAAACTTTTTTCGGTACCGCCACCGTATATGTATATATATACATAAAGTATATTGTATAATATGTATATCAACGACGTCTAAATACGAAATTCTGCTCGGCGGCACCAGTGACCGAACGGGGTCAGAAACATAAGTCGAAAAAGTGTACGCTGTGACGTACCCGGGCCACGGGAATTTCGATTTTGCGGTGCTTTATTGTGGGTCCGTATTATGACATGATAGTCTGCAGACACCGAGGGTCAAGCGTAGACCCGGACGAATTACAAAACTCTGGGCCATTTATATTCGAAAACAGTTTACCGTTTTACATAAACTGCCAAGTCCAAAAAAGACAAACTGAACGAAAAAAAACCTTCACTCGATCATTGAAATAATCTGATTTCGATTTAGATTATAATAACGATATTATATTATGCGTGTACCTATAACCTATTGGACGTGCGATGATGATAGTGATTGATCACTGAAAAATATCATATTGCTTGCAAATTTCATTATTATCGCTCGTGATATTTACTTAGCATACTTTTAAAATAATCATCGTGGTGCTTGAAACATTGGCTGAAATGTATGGATGAATAATAATATTATAATCTCTTTGCAGTGTACATAATACATATATTATATTTTGAACAGTTTCTAAACCGCATTCAACTCGTACACGTCCGATTACTTTTTTTTTTGTTTTTTAAAACATCTTAAAAGTCTGAAATATCTCTGTGGGAGGTACCTATACTACGGTATATTTTCATTTTTATTATGTTCAATACTAAAATAACTGTTAAACCAAATGGTTTATGCTCAATGCTCCCATAAACACAACATTTTACATTTGTATATTTGTACCTCTACTCGCATATCATACATTTTATTAAAAATACAATTTTATTATTAAAACACCCATTTTTGTTTTTTTACTGCTGACCAAACTTTTATTTATTGACCTTAAAATAGTAAGCTAACCACTCGTGGAAACATAATCAACTATCATACTGTAACACGTGTATATAATATACGTTATACATAATATATTTCGTGTGTGCATGTGTGTGATTGTGAATGTATATGTGGTGTATATATTGGCCTACAATGAATAAATCACGGGGCTAACCGTAGAAATCAAAACTATAAGAGTTTATTCGGGCGCTCGCCGATTTGATGGTTTGCCAAGTATCCGATGGATTTATGTTACAAAATTACAATCGATAAAATAAACGCCCTCCCCCCTAGTCATAATGACTCGCACTTTATTGCC